AAGCTTTATTATATAGTAATCCGATTCGGCAGATATACACGAATCGGATGATTAATGACCTACTCATTGACCGAGCACCTCGCCCGATGTGACTTATCGCGATTAAATTTGAGCAAACTCTATACTTGTCGTATTATATATAGATTTAACCACAAGAGCTATACAAACAATATATGAGCTTCTGTTTCCGGAACAGTCCGATTAGTTGCAGTCCACTTGGGAACCCGTTCGTGCGTAAGTTTCGCTAAAATGATTGGAAAACAAATCGTAGAAGTGTGTACAATAGTCGCGTATATGGTGTTGTTTGTTCCATTGGTGTTGGTCAGGCTGCAATAAAAAATCGATAAAACACCCTTCGGACCGAGTGCGAGTCGTTTACCCCGCAAACGACTGCCGCCCCCACCAACCCCAACCCATACACCGCCTGCTTTGCCTATGATAAGTGTCCGATCGCCATCGCCACAAAATGAGATATTCAATGATTGAAGTGTACTTTAGAATAGTCTATGAATTCGTGAATCTATTACGCATATAAAACTATTTATAAATATTATTTAACATTCATTCCACTTTACATAAAGGAAAAGTTAGGGATGAATTTCAAAAAATTGGAAAATTGATGCAGGAGCAATATAGAAATTAAAACCTAACTAAAATGATATGTCTTAAAAAATTTGGTAATGTTTTTATGGTTAAGACCTGCATAAGATTTTGGAATTAAGGGATTTAGTTAATTTACAAGATACAATTTGGAAAAAACAACACCAGTCTATTATTTAAAATAAAAAGTTGGACAGGTTTTAGCTATCTTTAATGGTCTAGAGGCTTAAGAATGTTTACTAAGGAACTGTGGACTGCAATTAGTCGGAATACAATGCTTTAAGGTTCAACAACATAAGCATATACTTAAGCCATTTTTTAGACACCGCATAACTTTTTCAAACAACATTTCGTACTTTTTTCCGAATCTAACTTACTTTGTTGCACTTCTTGTAACAAGGAATAGATCATATAGTGAGTTATTATTTTTTTTGTTTATATCATTTTAATGCATATATATATTTACCTAGTTCTTAGCTCAGATTTTATTATCTGTTTTTCTATTGAAAATATATCTGTGTATGTATTACATTATTATATGAGATATGCTATAATAAAAGATTGTTCTGGCTGCATAGAAAAATTGCAAGCTCGTTAAATAAATAATTCATTTTCTTTCTATGGGGGATTACACAATGAAACGTAATACCTGTGCAGAGGGGATTGTGCTTTGAAGCTGGTAAATTAAGTATTTAGTATATTTTTGTGGCAGTAAGTATTTTCCAGATGTTATTTAACAAAACAAGAAATTCGGTACATTTCTCAACTTAACAAGGAGTAAATAAAAAATTTAATTTTGAAATGATTGATCCTATGGGAGCTTTATAATAAATTTTCTAAATAGTTGATAAGATATGGCATATATAATAGCTCTGGGAAGTAAAGATTGTGAATGACGAATTTGATTAAGATATCTTGTTCGCTTAGTTATCAGCTGAAAGCTGCGTATTTTAATGTAGTGTGTCTCCGGAATTCCTTAAGTTATGATTAATATTCCTAACAAAATTCAATATGAAAGAAATAGCATTGAAAATAAATATCCGTAAGCTTCCATAGTGAAATAAATCGCAGCATATGGTATGCAACCGCAACTTAAATATTAATACGTTCAGGTTATTCAAATACAAAAGCTTTTGTGTAACAAATTCTAGAGTAGAAATCGTTTCATTTAACCAGTTCGTAGCATTCCTTCAACTGAAAAGCAAGTTTCAAGAATGTTTGAAAGAAAGTTTTTGGAAATATTTGTGGTGATCTTGTATTGGTTAATATTTACGCCCTTCATATATAATAAGTTTACAAAAAAGGGTTGGCTGTTGTTGGATTTTGGTGCTTTGCGAGATACAATATGGGCAGTTCTCATTTTCGGACTTGTCGATGTGATGGGTTTCGTAACATTTTATCGGATTGTCATGTACATGTACAAGAAATTAAAAAAGTACGAAAAGAAGACGCTGCAAAAAGTGCATCAAAAGTATAAAAATGATAAAATCGAACTTGAGGCCCAGTGCTTAGAGGAGAAATACTTGGACGTTCCGGATGGCGCCAAAAAGCGTACTATTAAATCCAGGCTGCGAACGCGCTTTTAAATTAAACTCATATTCACTGTATATTTTAAGATATTACAAAAAAATTACAAAAATATATATTTATTAAATGAAAAAGAAAAAATTGTATGCAAAGAGTATTTTTTACATATTTCTAGGTAATTTTATGTTTCTGAAAGGAGTCTCTTGAAGCTTTCAAGAACAAAGAGCACTTTATACTTATTTTATTTAAAGAATCTTTACAAGCTGACTGACTAACTCATGAATAACCGCAAACGAGTTCAAGGAACATAGTTAAAACTAACTTCACTTGACTTAGTTGTATTCCTGCACCCGAAGCCAACTCACGTACGAAGCTAGTAAAATATCGGTGTGAAAAATGATACAGAAAAGAATTGTTGAGATATTTGTGTTAGTCCTGTACTGGATTTTGCTAACGCCCCTGATCGTAGTGCTTTGCCTTGAACAGAAATGGGTCCGTTGGGATGAGAATAATATGTTCTCATCGATTAAACAGTTCTGTGCCCTTGCTCTGGTTCTGGCAGCATGTTATCTGGTGGTCTATCTACTTATTACACTCATTTATCTGCGAATCAGAAAGTGGACCATGAGAGCCTGGGTCACTTACGACCCCGCAAATATAGAAATGATTAATCATGAAAGACAATATTGTGCAGAAACTGATCCTCGACTTGACCCAAAAAAGGACGACGCATCCAGCATTCTAGATATGGAAAATGTCGAGCTGGATGGCTGTCAGTCGGTGCGCCGGGCACCCAATATACAACGCCCAGTCGAGAGAGTGCATCAAAAACAACCCAAAAAGGAAAATCGAAAACAGAAAAGGCAACACCCGCCAACTTATGAGGAGTGCAACAATTAAGAAATATTTAAGAAAAGTTATTCATTTATTTGTAAAATATAACTATTATTTTTATGGGAATTAAGGCATTAAAGTGAATAATGATAGCTAAATGTAAAGTAAAAACTATTCTGTTGGGAGGGGTAAAATATTATGCCCATGTAGACATATAGACCAAGCCTAGCTGTTCCAAAACGGTTGAGTCTACTTCGAATAAAAAGTTTCCGATACAAAAACTCGAATTTCGAAAATTTGTTTTTTTATACCCTGAACCCATTAAAAATGGGTAAAAAGGGTATAATGTATTTGTGCAAATGTATGTAACAGGCAGAAGGACCCTATCAAGTATATATATTCTTGATCAGCACCAACAGCCGAGTCGATCTAGCCATTTCCGCCTGTCCGTATGTGTGAACGCAAGGATCTCAGAACCTATAAGAGCTAGAGACTTGAAATGGCTGCAGGTCCTCCTAGTGCCCACGCAGATCGAGTTTGCTTCCAATATTCAATAACTTGCCCCGTTTCCAAGTAATCGATCAAAATCGATATCGAAATCCTGTCTTTTGAGCAATTTCGGCAAATAGTATGTGCTAGAGTCACCAAACTTGACATGTAGCTTCTACAATAGTATATATATATCAAGTATTTTTCATATTATACCTATCGCCTGTCGAAAGAAGGGGGTTCAGGATATCCCCTAGACGGGAGCTCCCGACTAGAACCTCTTACTTGTTTTTAATCAAAAATATGTGATAAAATTAGTTTTTGATACAAAAACTTTGCTTTCGAATCATAGTTCCGTTGAAAGCTTTATCTTATAGTAATCCGATTTGGCAAATATACACGAATCGGATGATTAATGACCTACTCATTGACCGAGCACCTCGCCCGATGTGACTTATCGCGATTAAATTTGAGCAAACTCTATACTTGTCGTATTATATATAGATTTAACCACAAGAGCTATACAAACGATATATGAGCTTCTGTTTCCGGAACAGTCCGATTAGTTGCAGTCCATTTGGCAACCCGTTCGTGCGTAAGTTTCGCTAAAATGTTTGGAAAACAAATCGTGGAAGTGTGTACAATAGTCGCATATTGGGTGTTGTTTGTTCCATTACTGTTCGTCTGGCTGAATATAAAACTCGATACAAAAACACCCTTCGATTATTTTTTTGAACATTCCGATTATGCGTTATACCTGATTTTGGGCTATTTGGTGCTTTATCGCATTGTCTCGTATACTTTCATTAAATTGAAATCCTTTAACCTTGGACTGTGGCACAGTTTGACCAAGACAAAAGTGGAGTGTGAGATGCAGCTCGAGGAGGCCAAATCCAATTATAAGAATTTGGATCTTGTCGATGGACCGCCCGCTACAATATCGTATGTTAGTCGTTTACCCCGCAAACGACTGCCGCCCCCCCCAACCCCAACCCATACACCGCCTGCTTCGCCTATGATAAGTGTCCGATCGCCATCGCCACAAAATGAGATATTCAATGATGGAAATGTACTTTAGAGTTCTCTAGAGCACAATAGAGTCTGAACTTGATAAATCTATTACGCATATAACACTATTTATAAATATTATTTAACATACATTCCACTTTACATGAAGGAAATAAAAAGTTGAACATTTTCTCTACGGAAATTTTGTTAAGAAAAGTTAGGGATGAACTACAAAAAATTGGAAAAATGATGCAGGAGCAATATAGAGATCAAAACATAATTAAAACTAAAATGGTATGTCTTCAGATATTGGGTTAAGTTTTGATTGTTCGGAATTGCATACGATTTGGGAATCAAGGAATTTAGTTAATTTACAAGATAAAATTTGGAAAAAACAACACCAGTCTACTATTAAAAAAAGCTTCTCATTTCAAATTTCGATTTTATAAATCTGAAAATAAATATATTTGAAATTGTAAAGTTAAAAACTGTGTCTCTTCACAAATTCGCCATTAAATTTGTCTTTGCACCAATTTATCTTTAAAAAAATGTTGGACAGGTTTTGTCTTAGAGGCTAAGGAGTATTAACTAAAGAATTGTGGACTGTAATAAGTCGAAATACAATGCTTTAAGGTTTAACAACAGAGGCATATACTTTAGCCATTTTGTTAGAGACCGCATAACTTTTTTAAAATATATTACGCCATTTAAGCGCTGTTTGTTGCCCCCGTAAAAAAATCGTGTGCTTATAAAATTAAGTTAATATTTATGAACAAAATGGTGCAACTAGTTAGAGCCCAAAAACTTGTATACATGCGTGAGCGAGTGAGAAAATCAAGCGAGAATCCAGAATCAAGTTCAGATCGAATTCACGTTCAAGCTGTGCAAGTGTGTGCGGGAGTGTGTGTGCACAGTTGCTATTGGCTGCATGCAAAGTAGTTCGTGTGTGTAAGTGTGACAGCTTCTGTGTGTGTTGCGTGGGTGTGTGTGTGAGTGTGTGTATGGGTCGTATTTGTTTGTATGGTTAAACAAGTCGTAAGAGGCATAGCAAATGAGAAAGTGTTGTAAAGAGAGAAAAGAAAAACAAAACAAAAGCTAAGCGCTAGATAATGAGAAAAGTTAAGAGCTAGATTTAAAATTAAATTAGAGATAGATAAATATATAACTATATAGTTTAAAGAATGGGTTTGAAAACGAAAAACGTGCCGTGACTAAGCAGTTAACAGTTGGCCAGTGTTGGTAAACGTCACTTAAAACAGTCAACCAGCATATTTCTCGGCAAGATCTAAGTCAACTTGCTTTATTTAAGACATGCAATTCGATAGTTTAATTGCCCAGTGTTGATAAACGTACATTCAAGCATTCACATTTTTCGTCATATTAAATGAGCTAACCCAACTTATTTAAGTCATGTCATGAAATTTAATAGGTGACCAGTGCTGGAAAACGACACAAATAACACTTTTGTATGCGTCATATAGCATGAGCTAACCCAACTTAAATAATTTCGTTGAATTTGTTAAAATTTTCTTAAAGTTTGAGCTGCAGTTCTCTGTTTGACCCTGACTGACTTTGGTCACTTTCAGTTCCTGGAACTGGTTTGACAAAAATAATACTCAATTGACTTTGAGTTAAAACTCAAAGGTGAAATTCGAGCGTCCGTCAATTATTGTCAACTCATGAGGCTCCTCATCATGAACAGCATCATCATCATCATGATCACCTGGCGTTCAATGCCAAAGACGCATATGGCGTTAGTCATGCAGTTATCATATATATAAGATTGCAGTCTCTCCGTAAGCCCTTAGTCATAGTTACTAGCACACCTGTTCAACTGTTTAGTCCCATTTAAAATGTATGGAAAATTACTGGGCCAAAGAAACAAAGAGGAGAAAAACCAAAACTCAAGCGATTAAGAAACGAAAATATATTCCTGGCAAAGGATTTAAATTTTCGTTGCGTTAATTTTTGCAGACAATTTGCAATTTCGCTTTCTCTCAAACGACTTTTATCGATTTAACATTTTAGTATTATTTTTTTTTTTTTTGGATTTTGTTTGCAAAAAAACTTCCCAACTACTTACTGCTGGCATAAGTTGATCTGTACTTCGGACGCGAGTCACCTTGTTTTTGGTAATCATCTTCTTGACGCAATGCTCCACCTGTACGTTCCACTTCATGAAGGTCACATAGGCAATGTATATGGTAAACAGGATGAGCGCCTCCCACCAGAAGATGCGATTGTCGCGAAAAAAGTAGATCAATACCAGCAAACTGATGCTATAGAATGAGCAATCGCGAAATAGTGGCCACCAGGTCAACGATAAGACCGTACGCGAGAATAACGCACACATGCCAATCACGAAGAGAATGTTAAAGACAGCAGATCCAACAATCGTACCAATGCCAACATCATCGAACGACACGAAAACGCCAATGACACTCGTGAAGAGCTCCGGGGCACTGCCACCCGCCGCCATAAACGTTGCGCCGGCCACATCGTCCGTGATGCCGAGCTTTTCAATGATTACGTCAAGGGAAGGCACGAAGAATTCATCGCAGACAATTGCCAGCGCCACAAACATGTATATAACACCGATAATGTGCAGGATGACAGCGCCGTTCTCAAGCTGTTCTTTCGTGAATAGGTCCTTTGGAAATAGTGGCGTTTTCGTGGTGTTTGAAATGTCGGTTAGCGTTTCTGCAAAATAGAAAAAAACAAAACATTTTCGAATTAGTATTGGATGTGACACGCATATTCTATCAGGGGACTTGGGGCAATCCTTAAGAGACCAGTGTACCAGACACCTTAAGTTGAATACATGACAATTTAAGGCCTTAACTAATTGAGAATTATATCCGGGGAGAATCGTTAAAAGACCAGTGCACCAGACGCCTTAAGTTGAATACATGACAATTTATGGCCTTAACTAATTGAGAATTATATCCGCATAAGTTTCTACTAATAAGGAACTTTTGTTTTAGTCCGTTAATTAAACTTTCTAGTGGTTAAAAACGCTAATAAACGCAAAATTACAAAAAAATATGAAAATAAAATTGATATTCTTTGCGAACGATTTTAAATATTGTCTTCTTTGATTTATAAGAATAACCCCCTGCTAATTATGGTGTGTATTAAGATTATTTTGAATTGCAAAATAGGTCTAAAGTTAACTACAGATTTTACCAGACCCATTAAAACTCCGTAGTAAATGCGAGGGAACATTTGTTAAACGGATTTTGCTACAGATAAGTATAAGTACTTCCTAGATAAGTATCCACGACAAAAACTCTTCATTTTTTAAATATAAAATATTTTTGAATAAATTAAAAAAAAAATATATATAGAAGGAGCCTTTAAAGACTCATGATTTGTAGCCTTTTAATAAAAGCTGGGCATGTCAGGAGATTCGTATTATCTAGCAAAACGTAGATATATTATAAGAGTAAGTATAGGTAGATAATGACCTATTACAAATTAAACAGAAGCTCAATTACATTATTATATACTACTATATTCATATGTGTTTAAACACGTTAAGAATAACTTGAATGCCTGAAAGATTGCTAGCTAAACGTGCCGAATTTGTCATTGCGCATAGTTGGCACAAAATGAGGAAGTCTGACCTTTAGCTAGAGAGAAACGCTCCCAAGACACTTAGAAGCGGCATTTTTTTTTACTTACTGCCAGGCATAAGTACACATTGCGCATCATATGAGTAAACGTTCGGTTACAATTCCCCAATTACACATCCTCAATTAAATAGCACGACCTTTTTGCTGGATACAAAAAAAAAAAATAATAAAGAAGATAAACGCGGGCAAATCGCTGTGAAAAACGCTTCGCAGGCGGCACCTTTTGTGCGCGCGCGATTTGCCATGGCAATTAACCGCAAAATTATGCAGCACATTTTGCAACAATTAACTAATCGCGAGTGCAACTGCAACCTCAACAAATGCAACTTCAATTGGAGTTGATAATGGCAAATGTTAATGTTTATCATTAATTTGCGCTCTTTTTGTTGTTGTTATTGTTGTTGTTGCCGTATGAGCAATCGTTTTGGCGCGTGTGCCAAACAAATAATCGGCGCGTTTTAAATCGCCCGCGGCACAAAACACTGATTCTCTTGACTGATTCATGTCATTTGTCATACCCTGCACATATTAGTTGATAATTAACGGGTATAATGAGTGTTACATATCTCTGTAAATAGTTAAGACTACATTGTTATATTTTCCTGGCTATCGAGCTAAGATAATATAGAGGCTCATATTTGGATCTTATATAATTCAAAGCAAACTAACCGAAGTATCCCAAAAGTTATTAAACAAAAGTATATGCTCTGATCTTATAGTTTAATAATTATAATCGAGTCTATACACAATTCTCATCATTCAGAAAGAGGTTGAGCTTGCAACGACATATTTTTGTAAGATATTTTTTTCTTGAATTTTATATAACTTATTTATATATTATATGATCGTAGATAATTACAGAAATTATACAAAAACCAACTTTTAGTTAAGTTTAAAGGCAACTTAACCAACTTCTTCAAACTGTGCTTTCGGTGTTACCGTTGGCCTAACTACAGGGTATCTCGCAGTCTCATTGTATAGCACTCGCTGTTGTCTTCGGTCTTAGTTGTTTGTCTGTGCCTGATTTGTCACTTTGGCATAACAAAGCAAATGCTTTCGCTTGTATTATTTACATAGTTTGCTTAAGATTTGTTTGCTTATCACACCGGACCGAGTATGTTGCGGCATTATTTCTGCATAATTATACTTTGTACTTGGTCTATAATCGAGTGAATATCGTCGCTGATTCGTTGACTCACTTGCGGTTGGGCCTCGGTCAACCAAGAACTCAACTTGCTCTTTAATGTGAAACCGGTTACGGGCGAAAGATATTAAGAGAATCAGCACTGAGAATTGAGCTCACTTGCAATTTGCATGCAGTTAACGGGCTGTACACACCCACACACTGCGGTTAACCCACCTTTCAGAAGGTGTTGCAGGTAAGCCATCCCCTGCCCCATCCCTGAAACCCCTCGCTTAGAACAGAATTCAAAACACTCAACACTGGAACGTGCGCTATAAATCAATGCTACAAATGAATCACTTGCCAAATGCTTAATGAATGATGATTACAGCATTTGCTATAGATACCCTGTAAAAGTATATACTCACAAGAGTAGAATAAGCTACACATATGCATTTGTCTTTTCTTAACTATTTTATGTTAATTTAACTTTAACTTTAAAATATTTTCGAAAGATATTTGTATTTTTATCGGTCTCAAGTATTTTAGTTATACCCTGTACTATTTACCCTTTACAATTGTCGACTTCTGTCAAATTATAAAAATCCTACTTTTACATTTGCTTATCTCCACTATCGATATAGCATATCTATACTATTTGTATACCCCATATTTCGTATTAATATATATTCTTAACATTATATTTTATCAAATTTCTCTTCCAGGGTATTACGTAGTGCATAATCGTGAAATTTTTAGCATTTTAACGTTTTTACTTGTTTTTACTTAACAGGTAGATAATTTGTAGTTTGATTGGTTGTGGGCGTGCAACAACAGAGTCGACTACAGTTAGCTACGGGGGACAACGTTTTGAATATCAAACCAGATCATCGAGAAATTGTGGTTATTATGAGTATGAATACATTTATGACTAAGTGTAAAGCTAGGCAAGCTGACGGAAGACGACAGGCGATAGGGAAGTAATCAAAATAGTTCGAGAAGTAAATAAAGCAGTGGAAGAAGAAAAACAAGTTATATTTACCAGGTATGCAAATGGTTTTATAAAGTGTGTACATTAGAAAAATACAGATTTAATTAGGTACGGTACAACAAACATAGATAAGCAAGAGGAACTATGGTATTAAATAAAATTAAATTAAAAATTGCAGATTATAAATATGAAAGGAGTATGCAGTAAATAAACGGGTATATGGCAGGGACTATTATAATCATATAAAATATTGTTATTATCAGAAGTTTAGGACATATTTATAAGCTATCCGCAACTGAAATATCTCTGGTTAAGGGTATTATATGGAATTTCAACTCAAATTCTTCATTGTCAGTTTCCTCAATTATGAGACATACCAGGCGAAAGACAGGTGAATCTTAGATATTAAGGCTTAGGGCCACATTCTTTATGCACTACACACTCCATTCTATACTATTTTCTCTATGCCTCTTAACTCCTCACCCCTTTTCATAATCATTTGTTTTTCAGTCTGCATAAATAAATGTGTAAAAAACCTTATACATAGATACTGAAGTCTTAAGAAATTAAAGCTAATTTCTAATCTGGTTTTGGATGTGTGACATTTTTGATTTGATTATCATTTGACAAAAGTGAAATGCGTGTTATCTCAAATAAACCAATACATATGTATATAGAGATCCCAGCAAACGTATATAAATAGAAGTGTTGATAAACTGTTAAACTAATGTGTTTATCGACTTTGTTTGCGAAGACAATTAAATAATGAGTAATGGGAAATAGCGAATGAATCTTACATTTTTAAGAAGTTCACATTAAGATAATTATAACTAAGATTAATATAATTATGATGTTGAATCTAAGATTTAGATGGAACAACAAAGAATAGTCATTTACGAAGTGACGAACTTTAAATACTTTAAGAGACATATATCAGATGAAGCTTACAGTTTTCTATCCTAGCTTAAAAAGCTTTTATAAAAAACTCAATCAAAAAGATACAATATTTTTTGTTCTACTCTAAACTCATGAGTTAAGTTAAGATATTGTTTATGAGAGCTATATAAAATTAATCGATGAACAACTTGTTCATAGAGCAAATTAATTGTTGACTGATCGTTCCGATAGAAGCTATATTATATAGTGAACCGATGATGGTATAGATAAAGAGCAGCTTAAAACGGATATAATCTAATTCTAATCTATTCGACTGTTTCACAAAAATATATTGCCTTTATATATGTGTTTTCCTTTAAGCGTTACATATTTCATGACAAAATCATAAGACCCACTGCAAGTGTATTTAGATTTAAAGTGCGCCAACCTCTCGAGTTGAGCAATAAAATTTTAATAAATTCTATGCGAAAGGTAAGAACAAATAACTGGTTGTTTATTTTGTTGATTTTTGATGTGTTTATTATTTATTCGTATTTTTTTCAGCTAACATTTGGTGGCATGTGGGCGCGTGCCGTCTCTCTGTCTGCCTATCTGCCCGCCAGCCTACCTGAGTTAGTCAAGACTTGGAGGCCAATTGAGGTAACCAGTTTCAAGTGCCAAAATGCCACAGTCACAATTTGACTAACCGCATGCAATCGAGCCGAGCGTCAGCTCAGAAATCTTCTAGAGCAACCGCACACACCCACTCACACACACTCACACACACACACACACACACACAAACACACACACAGAGAACCGAGCTAGTTATGCGTCATGCGTTGACTCTCGCAGCTGAGTGGAGAACAAAAGCCGCAGCAAAGTCGCGTTCGCATTTGCAAAACAGTTGCAAATTGAAACTCGAATCGCTCAGATGGCAGCCACAGCAGCAGCAGCAACAGCAATACCGGAGCTTTTTATCAGCCATGCCACCATACAGCTGAGGCAGCCATCTAGTGTGGCGCCACCGCGAGTCTACGAGTGGCGCACGCAGGTCACAGGTCAGACGCAGCAGGCGCAGGAAACGCCAGTCGAGCGCATTAGGCAAAGCGGCAGTACAACAGCAAAAGCAAAAGCCACGCCCATATACACGCCTCCACGGATCCAGGGCAATGAGGCGAAACGCAAGAATCTGCCACAAACGCTTTGCAACTTCTTCGAGGCGGAGCGCCACGACAGCGCCTGGAATCGCGTGACTAACTGAGATGGAACAGTCAGCGTTTTATATATGTATACATACATATATAAATATATACTATACATAAACATACGTTATAAATTAA